TAGTTTAAAATCATGCATGGCACGGAAGGTTCCCCTGCTTAAATCAGCACACGTCCAGGCCCGTCTTAAGTTTGCCCATGACCATTAGGATGATCCAGATGAGTCATGGGAGAAAGTTATGTGGTCAGATGAGACCAAAATAGAACTTTTTGGTCTTAATTCCACTCGCCGTGTTTGGAGGACGAAGAATGATGAGCACCATCCCAAAAACACCATCCCTACTGTGAAGCATGGGGGTGGAAGCATCATGCTTTGGGGGTGTTTTTCTGCACATGGGACAGGACGACTGCACTGTATTAAGGAGAGGATGAGCGGGGCCATGTATTGTGAGAGATTTTGGGGAACAACCTCCTTCCCTCAGTTTTCACCTAAACGAGATGTATAGCTTACATCAAAATGTGGTTATAGTAGCGGTCTATCGATACGTAGGAATTACGGTTTGATGTCTCAGTTTTAATGACACAACTCAGTATGTTTATCTGGCACAGCAGAGAAAGTATCTTTTTGCACCACACTTTTATCAAATATTGATTTTTATGACTCAACCTGTGCCTTCTGGTCTCTATAGTTTCCATCTAAATACTGTTTCCTGGAGTAGACTTGCTGCATGTGTGCTTGTGTGTTTATAAAAAGGCAGACTTACACAACACAGCTTTCCATCTTGCAGCTGAAAAATAAAAGAAATGTGTTCAAGGCCCTCAATGAAGTACCGTAATTTCCAGACTATAAGCCACAACTTTTTTCACACGTTTTGAACACAGCAGCTTATACAACGCTGTGACTAATTTATGGATTTCAAAACGTTTAGCTTCGTCACACTCAGGCGCTGACATAGCTGCCCAAAACACATCTCTCTTGAGGGGTAGCGATCAATGACTTCCTGGTAGACTACTGTTTGTTTGTTTTTTTATCAGCCGTGTTACAGGCACTGTTCAGAAAAAAAAAACATTTACTATATTTGTGCGCGTTACCGGTACATGTTTAATTAAAAGTAAAAAAATCTGTGTAAATACCTCATGTTACAACGTGAACACCTGCGGCTTATAGACAAATGTGGCCTATTTATGTAAAATTATAATTTTCTTTTTAAATTTAGCAGGCGCGGCTTATATTCAGGTGCGCTCAATAGTCCATAGAAATTACAGTATATACGTGCATAAACTCCAAATATTAAAATGGGTTACCCTAACACAAGAATAACTTTGACCAACTGTATTTTTTTGTTTTACATATACAAAATCAGGAACGCATCCAGTAAATAATCTGAATATTACTATTTATATTTGCGGACACCTTTAATGAAGATTGCTGCTGCAGTTTGAACTTAACTACATCTGTCCATGTTAGCTCAACATCCCCTACACAGTCCTAGACCCAACCACTTCTGTGCTCCCTTTGTGTTTCAGAGATGATTGAGACAATGCTGAACCTGGCTAACTATAGGAGAAGGGTGGGGTTTGGGGGGTGAGGGGAGCTATTTCCTTAAGGTTAAAGAGAGATAATTAAAAGGTCTCACTCTGATTCATCTGAAGACAGCAAACCAGCTATGAAGTTACTCTAGCGTTAGCAGGTCCTTACATTAGCACTCTGCCCTGCTAACTCAACACAACCGTGAAATATTAATGAATATGTTTGTGTGTGCCCTGAAGTAAATACTATCCTATGAGCGCATGCGTCCACGCATGAATGCCTATCTAGGAATGATGTGCTCAGCTATTCTTTAGCCAGTCAGGTGGTAGATGCGCAACACCAGCCAAGCCTCCTCACCTTCTAACAATGCTCTGTAATTGTGCTCAATGAGAGACCAACAGAATGAGTGACTGAGCCACACACGCGTAAGCCCTGCTGCGACCGCCAATAAAAGCCGAGCGTTACAGCACTCCACCGCGCTCACCTAAAGACGTGCCTGTGATCCGGCTGTGATGACAAACTGTGCCGTCTTTGTTGGACTGCATCAGATCACTGTACGATACAGCTGCCATGCTCCACACTGCTCTCCCCCCCAATGGACTAGTTCACAAGCAACACCCCCCCCCCCCCAAACACACACACTCCATGAACATGTATTCACTGAAACATACACATACATGCATGCATACACACACACACACACACACACACACACACAGTAAACCGCACACATGCAGGCACAACACACACACTGCCTGATATCGCCGCCTACTTCAAAGAGAATAAACATTAATGGCAAATAGGTAATCTGTTCCCCTTGTCTGTTTTACATTTCAGGGTAAGATTGACTGCCTCTAAGGGACCTGGCCCTTCTCTGATTGAGGGCAGGAAGAAAAAAAAAAAAGAGAGAAGCAACAATAAATGGTAAACACATGATAAAGCATAATTCTTATTTCAGGAATCATTTTACTTTTTACTGATACATTAGCGATCAAAAAGAAGGTAATAATATTCCTTTACTTCAACCCACAATGGACCACTAAGGTCCCAATCTTCCTTCCTGGAATATTCTGATGTGGACGTTCTTATTCTCATTTCTACTGAATAATATCCCTCTCAGGCCCATCAGTTCTCCCTACTGCTCAGCCTTTTTAGGATTTCCCCACTCAACCGACTCCTTCTGCACTTTTTATATTCTCTGCCAACTTTTCCACACATACATACCCACCCCTCTCCACCCGCCTCCAGTCGCTATCTTCAAGCTCCTCTTTCTCATTCTGAAGGTTGTCCCGGGCTGCTGTGGCCAGGTACGGGGTGGCAGGCGGCGCCTCATATCCTGTCTGAGCATCAATCATGAGCTTCTGTCCACTCAATCCTCCTCTGATCCATCAGCCAGCCTTGCAGCCAGCTCCGGCAGCCTCATCCGCGCACGCTCGCAAAGCACTGACAAATTGTGGCACCTGTGCATAGTGCACATCAGCCTACTTTAATTTCACAAACACACGAAAGGAGCATATGCACCGTTCCAAGAATTCTCGTCGAACCGTTTTTATACAATTGAAAACTTTTTGAATTTTCTTCTAACTTAATAACTATCATGAATATTTGTTACTCTTTAATAAACAATTTAAAGTTTCAGCTCTAGTAATGACAAAAATTACAGCTGCCATCACTTAATGGCACAAATTTATCATAAATATCATTCTGCATATCACTACCTCCACCTCATAACAAGCCCGCCTCACTCTCCCAACGCCAGCCCAACCCACCCGCTCCTCGCTTACCGCTAAGCCGATTACACAACGCTCCTAATCGCAGTGCAGTGTAAGCAAACACCGATGTCATCGATTGTAATTCTAAATCTCCCAAATCCCCGTCACCTTTCATCTCGCGCGATATCGGCGACGCAACTTTCGGCTGATCTTTTAATCACCGGTGGCTCTGTGAGCGACTGCCACCGTACCACAGACAGAAATGGGACAACGCGCGAAAACTGTTTGTGTGATTTCTCCCGATAAATGGCTGCATCGTGTTGCTTATTCCAGTCTGTGGTTGGAGAGTTGAAAGTGCTGTCTTTTCATGCAACCATCAACCGCACGTGTCGAAGCATCTCTGTTGCATAATCCATTCATGTCGAAATCTCTGTAATGAAGATATTAAAACAGTTTTTCCTTTGTGATTAAAATGATCTCTGCTCTCCCCCGCAGCCATACACAAGTAAACAAAGGGCCTTGCTTGTGCATATATTATGACAACCTTTTCTTCAATTGCACATCTGTGCGTGTTTTCATGCGTTTGTGACTGTGTGTGTGTGTGTGTGTGTGAGGGATTTAAAAAACAGAATGGTTTACTGGTTCATTAGCAACAGATTAGTGATGCTAATGACATGGATCACCACACACAGAGACATTCTCTTTTTGTTACTGAAAGAGATACAGGACTTGCTATATTTGTGTGTGTGCAGTGTACTATGTAGTGCAGGCGCATACTCAAAAAGTCTTGCATAAATAAATTTTTCCCCTTACAAAATAAAAACAGAAACAATAATTATTCATCTTTATATATGTCTAATGATGTTATAATTGACCTAATGAGTTAAAAGAAAGCTGCATTGGGCAAACAGAATAAACGGTGTCACACATGCATCAAAGTTCATGCTCAGTAATCCAGGTAATAATCCAACAGGTCCAGAAGAAGTCCTTCGGATGAAGGATAGAACGTCTCAGCAAAAAAAAAAGAAACCACCCAGATGACCTGACTGAACATTGTTGAATTATTATCTGGATTGTTGAGCATGAACTTTGATGTTTTGAACCACTTTGGTAAGGCTGCCTCAGAGGAGTTGACGGGGGAGAGGGCGGGCCCCAGAGGTCATCTTATCACCAGAAAACTGTTTGGTTTTTTTCCCCCAATATGGGAGTGTGCCGCTTGTGGTGGGACTCAGTTTGCTAGTGGCTCCTCAGATTGAAGAAGTCCTTCGGATGAAGGACGGAACATCTCAGCAAAATAAGAAACCGTCCAGATGACCTGACTGAACATTGTTGGGGTGTCACACATGCTTTGCTATTGCTCTGCATCATTAAAACACACACACACAGAAAAATTGATAACAACAAACTTATGCACGTCAAAGCCCAGTTATCCAGACTTGGAACACAAGTTTTCATGTATTTGTGTGTGATGACACAAGATATAAAGCACTAAATGACGTGTTTATGCATCATACACTTCCAGAATGTTTTCTCTTAAACAAGACAGCTGTCACAGCGGTCCACTAGGGGTGTATCGGTACACCAAAGTTACTGTTCAATATGGATCATAATTTAGTACAGGTTCTGTTCAACAAGAAACATATGCCAAATGTGACTTTTGTTTTTAACAGACAATAACTCACCCAGAAGCAGAGACCAAAAAAAATAAACCAGTGTTTCCCCTACCATTATATAAGCGGGGTGCCCCACCCCATCAACAGAACTGATCACCCCACCTACCAAACTGAACCCCCACCCCTGGCACTGACATAGCACTAAGCTAGCAGTGTGCAATACAGGCGCTAAAGGCGCCTCTTCCCTCATGCTGTATGGTGCTACCTTCTGTCCCGGCTGCGTGATCTGTTTGAACGGCGGCTTCTCCCTTTGTCTCTGTCTGCACTTCGGCTTCTCCTCCTGCGAGATGAACTCTGAGAAGAACTGCTGCTGGAACGTCGTCTTCTCCTAAACAGAGCAGACCAAAAAATAATAATTGTATTAATGATAGGGTCCTTTAAATAAAAATCATAGTTAAACTGCAGGACACTGGACATATAACTGGTTCTAATTGTGATTGAGGGTAGAAAATTTGGCTCCTTGAACTTCAGTCGTTCAGTATTTTTGTACGGTTTCTCTTAGTCAACGATCCACTAAAAAAGTTTTGTGAATCACTTCCACCAAAAGTGTGTTCTTCTTACTTTTTCTTTATGCACAGATATGCAATAACAAATTTTATGTTCATTCACCAGTTCGCCAAAATCAGAAATGATTTTATCTAAAAAAAAATTTTTTTTTTAAACTTCTAACCATGTGTTTATATTGTAATCAAACACAAATGTCAATCAGCTCTGATAGCAGCTTTACTTTACTGAACATTCTAGTATATTTCCTACAGATGTAAGCCATGCAAACAGCCCTAAAAGGGCTCCCTCCACAGGGGTCTTTTTTGTTCTCATGCACTTTAATGTGGTTGTAGCAGCATGTGCGCACTTTTTTCCAAAAATAAAAAACAACTCCAACCGTGTTTCTATTGATATCAAGAAGTACGAGGCATTTTAGGGGTGAATGTAAATGCACCACCGTCTCCCTCCGTTCTCTACTGCGCAAACTGTTTGTGCAAAATTCTTTATCTGAAATATTTTCTTTTGATTCACCAAATCCAAAAGTAACCGAAATCTTTTTTAGCATCCACTAAGACTCTTAGTAAGACCAAAAAAAAAACAAGTCCTGTGGGACCTCAACAACATAGAGGAGAAACGGAGAAAAAGGCTAGAAATACAAATAACACAGAGGCTGAACTATCAAACTAGATTTGTACCACTTAGACTAGCGCTGCAAAGACCCATTAGTATTCTAAAGGCTGTATCCAAAGAGCAGAGCATTATGAAATAACTTCTACAGCCGCTCTGCAAAACCACTTCACACATCACACAGAAGAAAGGGAAAAAACACACACACGCTGGTTAACAGAAGCTTTTTTGGAAGGTGGTGTTAGTTCACACATTTTCACAAACGCCTGCGCAAACATAATGTAAGAAAAAGAAAAGCTAAAATAAATGTGAAGGGAAAAGTGATTGTAAACACAGAAACGTTTCAGACGAGCACACGACACCTAGGTTGGTTTTCTTGTCTCTGATTCAACCTCGAACACTTATTACCATTTTGTTCCCTATTTGCATCTCACATACACAGTAATGGTTACAATTACTCTCCTTACATATACATGGTGATTATGTGGTCATGATGTCACCCACCCAGAACATAAGCACTCTGCTGTTTTACCACATGTGAGGTCACTTTGCTCAGCCTGGGAGCATGCAGGTTGACAGTGCCGCAAAACGCGTGCTCTCCTTCATGTCAGCCTATTTAAAGAAACTGGTTTCAGCAGACGCTCAGAAACACTCACAAGGTCTTAGTTAATTGATCAAAATGTAAGGCTAATAGACGAGGGACTGTGGTCCCAGAGTTTACACTGCATACCCAGCCCCACTCTGTGCTGGCAAGCAATGACTTCCCATCAGAGGTAATGGGCCTTGACCAAGTCTCATAAATAATTACCATCAACTGGCCTTGTCTGAACAGCCACACAGAAACAGTAACAGCCAAAGAAGGAAGGAAGGACAGAAGGAAGGGTTGAACACTCAGTAGCTGGTCACGATATTAAAGACAATAATTTTAAACATGTATGAAATATGCCTGAGAAATATTTTCTTTAAAAATTGTTAGTCGTGCAGGTGCTTAGAAACAACCCTCAACCCTTCTCAATTTAACTTGTGTAACTCAAAAGCAACAGTCACCACTTTTTAAGATACAACTTTAACATTCAATCTAGTCCTAATCATTTTTTTTTCTGTATATTAGATACAAAATTCATAGCTTCATTACAGCTCCAATGGTTTTGCTTAAAAAAGCTAAAGTTTGAGCAAATGCAGCCAAACAATTGTAGCTTTCTTTCACTAAAGATACAACTGATGTTGGCTATGGCTTTATCAAAGCTCCATTATTAGTCTTACTGCTTGTTATGGAACTGCAGCCTTTTTATTAGAGGTTTGACTTTATCTAACCAGTAACTAAAGGATGATTTATACAGTGCAAGAAATGAAGATATTACCGTAGTTCTTGATGATGTAGCTACGTGATGAAAATTATGTTTCTTTGAGTTCTGAGAACCCATTTTGTGTACAAGCTCCTGGCAGAATTCTTTTCTCGCAGGGATATATCCCAAGCGCTGTGTGATTGGTCAGAAGTTCATGGGCATGTCATCAAAGTTCATGCTCAATCATCCAGGTACAAAATCCAATAAAGGTCAATCAGGTCACCTGGACAGTTTCTTTTTGTGGAAAGACGTTCCGCCCTCTATCCGGAGGGCTTCATCAGTCTGACGAATCCCAAGTAAACTGTTTTCCCACTAAGCAGTAAACTCCTTTAGTGGACCAACCAGTTTGCTGGTGATAAGATGGTTTCTGGGGGCTGTCCTGTCCTCCGCCGACTCCTCCCAGGCAGTCAGCCACAGACTGATCGACTCCATGCCACGCCGCATTGCTGCAGTAAACCAGGCACAAGGAGCCCCAAGTATTGAGTGCTGTACATGCTCATACTTTTCATGTTCATACTTTTCAAGTGGTCAACATTTCTAAAAATCATTTTTCAATTGGTCTTAAGTAATATTCTTATTTTCTGAGATACTGAATTTGGGGTTTTCATTAGTTGTCAGTTATAATCATTAACATTAAAAGAAATAAACATTTGAAATATATCAGTCTTTGTGTAATGAATGAATATAATATAAAAGTTTCACTTTATGAATGGAATTACTGAAATACATCAACTTTTTCATGATATTCTAATTTTATGGCCTGCACCTGTATGTATATATAGTGTGAGTGTGTACACACAAAAAAAACTTTGAAATAACTGTCACAAAAGACATCTGCGTTTTTCACCAAAACCTAATATTAGTCCCAACATTTATTTAGCAACTAATCTAGATGTCTTTTTTGTCCAAGTACCTGTAATAATTATGTGTTTTGTCATTTGTGTGGCTGCAGTAGCTCGGTGGTTAGCGCTGCAGTCTTGTAATCCTGGGGTTGTAGGTTCAAGCACCTTCTCCCATTCCTCCTCTGGATCATTCAGATGGTCATTTGCAAACTGCCGTGTAGTTCTGGGCTCATTCCTCACCTTCCTCAAGATCAATGATGCTCCACGAGGTGAGATCTTGCATGGCGCCCCAGACCGAGGCAGATTTTCCGTTATTTTGTATTTCTTCCATTTTCTAATAATTGCACCAACTGTTGTTGCCTTCTCACCAAGCTGCTTGCCTATGGTCCTGTAGCCCATCCCAGCCTTGTGCAGGTCTACAATTTTATCCCTGATGTCCTTACACAGCTCTCTGGTCTTGGGCATTGTGGAGATGCTGGAGTCTGATTGATTGAGTGTGTGGACAGGTGTCTTTTATACAGGTCACGAGTCCAAACAGGTGCAGTTAATACAGGTAATGAGTGGAGAACAGGAGGGCTTCTTAAATCAATCAACCTTTATTTATACAGGTAAATCCCATTGAGCCTCGAGGACTCATTTACAAGAGAGACCTGATTTTAACAAAGAAAGATGACAACAATGGACAACAGCAACAAAAAGAAGAACTAACATGTCTGTGAGAGCCAAAATTCTTACTGGTTGATAGATGATCAAATACTTATTTCCCACAATAAAATGGAAATTAATTATTTAAAAATCATACATTGTATTTTTCTGGATTTTTGTTTTAGATTCCATCACTCACAGTTGAAGAGTACCTATGATAAAAATTACAGTCATCTACAAGCTTTGCAAGTGGGAAAACCTGAAAAATCAACAGTGTATCAAATACTTGTTCTCCCCACTGTACTATACGTGTTTTGTCATTTGCAAAATTCCTCATCATCATTACCTCATTATTATAACATATATAATAAAATGTTACAAGATAATGCAAGTGAAACTAATAACAGCCTCAGTGCTGACAATGTGTGATAAAGTTCAGATCTACTGTCAAACAGGTTAAAATGATGGGATCTTGAATGGAAAAATGGACTGTACTTATATAGCGCCTTTCTATCTTATCAAGATACTCAAAGCGCTTTATGATACAATCTGTGCCCTCATTTATCCATTCATACAGTACTCTACTAGATCTATAGAAAGAATAAATAGTGCTCTATCACATTCATACACCGATGGGACACACACTGGAGACAATGAGGGGTTCAGTGTCTTACCCAGGGACACTTGGGCATGTGACTACTGGTGGAATCAAACCCCCCACTCTTACATTGGAGGACGACTGCTCTAACCACTCAGCCACACACAGCCGCCCAAAGGGTACTGAACAGTACATGAAAAACATCAACACTCTGACCGTTTCTGCAGTAACCACAAAGTGAAGTCATTTACGAGATGAACCTGAATGTTATCAAGTTAATATATTCCTTGAAGGAATGCATATCGCCCACTGACTTTCAAGCTAGTGTTTTAAACTAAGATTATGTTGAAAAATAATTTAGTTGTGGCCATTTTGAGCAATCTCTTATGATATTGCAAGATGGAAAAAAAGAGCAGGACTCACTCCATCCAGCTCACGCTCGTATCAGACACAAAAAATGTTTGTATGACCTGAGACACAGTAGAGCGGATGGATTCATCAACACCTACAGTACAAGTTTTTTTTTATAGTTTTCCCCTGCCACAGTCAGACTGACGGCAAAACAAAACCACTGAACCTGGTGCAATAATAACCCAACACTAACCAACTTCACTTGTCATGTGACATGGGTGTAGATATTATCTGCTTTCTGTATACTTTATTCATATTTTTATTTCATTTAATTAGTGTTGTTTCAGTGGTTTGACAATGACAGAGAGCGCTACACAAGAATCCCAATGTGCCTGGATTGTTGGTCTGTGCACAAATGTAAAATAAAGTACTTTGTACCATTGTAAGATGTCACACTTAGTATGCATTGTGAATGACTCTCAGCTACCACCTCGTCAAATTTTAGCACAAAAATCAGTCAAAATGACAAAGTTATAAGCCTTTTCAGGTTGGCTAATGTTGATTAACTGTGACAGCCATCTTGAATGGGTCTGAATCCAAATGTTAGTCAGTTGTAGAGGTACTTTCATTGAAATCTAAACTTTGGTTCGTGAGATACTTTGCTTGAAGACAATTCAACATCTGTAAAAACGACAGCAATTTTGCTACTTATATTCAGTTTGTTGTGGCAGCCATTTAGGAACAAGTTGACTCAAACGCTTAATCGGTTGTCCACTGATTACTTTCTGCAAGTTCCATTCAATGCATCAAAGAGATATTCAATAAAACAAACACATGAACGCAGACATGGGCAAAGACGTTATCTCCCGCTGCTGGGTTGTGTGGAAAGCCTCAGCTCCAGTCTTCCTGGAGGTAAAACACTTTCCATGCCGCCTCTAAAAATGGGGTAAAGTTGTCTCACCTTCGGTCTTTGGAGCGAGAACGGCTCCGGCGACTGGATCTCCGACTGTGGCTGCTTCTCACCCGGCTACCAGAGGAGGACGAAGAGGAGGAGGACGAACGGCGACGCTGTTTTTTCTTCCTCCTGCTCCGACTGTCATCCTCGCTGTCAGAGGAGCGCCGACCCATGATGCTGCTGGACTGTCCGCTGGTATCAAACACAGGAGCATAGCTGCTCATTAGCTACTTCAATAGCAGTCTTTAACACGAATCTTTGCGTCTATGAGTGTATTTTTACATCAATTGTTGAACATCCCTTGCCACAGAGACTTGGTGCACAATCATGCTACAAAATACCTACTAGCATGCTGTCACAAAATAAAACCTGACAACATCTAGGGAATATGTGTGTCCTTTAAAACAGTCAAACAGTCGTAACACTGTGCTCCTAGATGTCCATTAAATCAGCAAAATAGACGCGTTTGCGTCATAGGCTAACTAGCAGGCTAATGCTAACCGGACAAACAATGATGCAGACTGAATTTTTTTGTATTATATCTGAAGCCTTTGGCAGCTTGGCGGGCACCTCGCGACTCGTTTTATTCAATACGCTTCACACGAAGGACGAGAACTTCGAAAAGCACACAAACCTTGAAATGAAAGCCCCACTCGTCGTCTTATAAACGATGGATATTCCACAACACAGCCATGCACGGCTAACGAGACTGTACGCATCGAATGAAAAGGCATCGATCGGTGCCAGGAGTGAAGAGTCGAACGCAGAGCAATCGATTGAGACGCAGTTCTCTAGTCCCCCCTGCGCGGTTTAAATTCCACTCAAATCAGCTGCAAATGTTGCATCAACTTGTGCCATTTTCTCTTTAAATAATGTGTGATCGTTTGTCACCAATAGGAAATCGCGTTATTTGAAAAAGCTCGACTAAAACTCCAATTATTTTACGTTTCACTTTTCAAAACTTTTTTCTTAAAGGGATATTTTCTCAAAGCAAAAACATGTAACCTATAGATTATTTTGTCACTCTGTATTTCTTCATATTTTATTCACAAATAAAAATAAAAAAAACGTTTTAAAGAATGTAGCCAAATCACATTCTGAGCTTCTTGCGTTTCGTTTGGCTCAAAGTAAAATACAAGGATTTATATGAGATTCTAACAAAGAGTCCGAGTTTAAGTGCAGGGTAAAAGTAATTTGCAGTAAACTCTAAAAAAAGTAGTTACAGTATTTCGTGAAGATAAAAAAAAAGAATAACCCAACATTAAGGCCGATATGATGGAGTGATGCAGCAGCTGTGAGTGCCTGATCTAAAACAAAGTGCACTAAACAGATAAAAGAATGTGTTCAGCATCTGAAGCTCTCCCGCTTTCACATGCAGCACGATTAATAGTAATTAATGCCTAAGGTTCGAGCCGAAGCGTCGTTAATAATTAATTAAGTGAATTGTTAGAGCTCGTGTGGAAATATGGAGTGGGGAGAAGGATGGGGGCTTTATATAGATGATCAATAAACAAGCTTAATTCTGCATTAAATTCATCCCGACGCGTTCCAAATCCCGCTGTATCCTGTTTCTCCTCAGACTATATGTTGCCTCTTCATCTCGCTTTCTGCTGCCCCCGATTACACCGCAAAGCGCGTCCTTGTTTATTTATTTGTCATAAATATAGATCTTTAATTCAATGAGAGGAAAGGAGAAAAAAAAAAAAAAGAACAGCGAGCTGGAAACTTTAATTAGAGAGCCCCCAATGGCAAAGACATCGCGAGAGGCGCAATAATTAAGCGTTTATCTGCAATTTAACACCCTAATGGCTTAAAAAGACCTGTGAGAATTAATACGAAATGATATGGTGTCGCAAAAATAGAGATGAATAATAATAATAATAATAATAATAATAATAATAATAATAAAATGGTCTCGTTAGGTCTTTCTTTTCTTATTTCAGTTTTAAAGTATCACAAATAAATAAAAACAATTGATGCGCAGGTCTGTAAAGAATTAAAAAGGACAACGTTTCTTGGGGTTTGGGAGCCCAACGTGCTCACTTGAACTTGCTCCATCTTCTCTGTCACCACACGCGCGCACACGCACACACACACCTCGTTGCGTGTTATTTCCCTCGCCCGGTCATCTCCCCATCACACGTGCAGTGTGGAAGGAGCCTCATCCATGTGCCTCTCTTGTCATTTACAGATTTTTTTAGCCCCACCCCTATAGAGAGAGAAGATGGGGGGGGGGGGGTCCACGACCATCTCTCGGGTGTTTAAAAAACTAACTCAGGACAATAGCAGCGAATGAGCGCTTAATTAAATTAATTAGTCCTTCTTGTCAATCTTGGATTAATGACCAATAGCGGCGGAGCTGCTTAATGTTTTTACTCCTCTCCTCTCTAAACTCTCTTTCTCTCTTCCATATCAGTGGAAGGAGGAGGAGGAGGAGGGAGTGGGGGGAGGGGGGGGGTTACGACCGGCATCCTGAGGGGAGGTAATTTGCACGGATCAAGGGGGAGCAAGGCGCTGCAAAGTATAAATAGTGTGACTTCAATAGGAGGATCACCAGCAGGTTTCCAAACTCCGCCATACCAAAAGGGAGGAGAGGAATAAGAAGCTGCATCTGTGTGTTTATCTTTTTTATTAATATTATTATTATTTTTTTTTATACATGTAGAGATACATATATTTCATCCACAGTTGCAACACCTTGTGTCATTTTCAAGGGGTCCACTTTTCTAAATTATTTTATTTTTTACGACAAAAACAAAAAAAAACAAAAAAAGGAAAAGAAAGACGGACCGCTGATGTCTCCTGCTGCCGCCGCGGAGCACAGGGAGAGTGTGTGAGCGCGTGTGCATGGTGCGTGTGTTTGTCTTTTCCCCGAGAGGAGAGGAAGAAGTGATGGAAGAGCTCACCGCTTTCGTGTCCAAGTCTTTCGACCAGAAAGTGAAGGAGAAGAAGGAGGTGATCACCTACAGGGAGGTGCTGGAGACCGGCGCGGCGCGCGCGGGGAGCAGGGAGCCTTTATCAGCGGAGCCGGGGAGCAGGGAGGAGGCGGCCGCGCTCACCCGGAGCGTGGCGCTCTCTCCGGGCAGGGAGACGGACATGCTCGGCCCGGAGAGGATCAGGGACTCCGGGAGCCCCAAACTCGTTGACGGTAAGGGCGGTGTGAGAGGGGGGGAGTGGGGGGGGGGGGGGGTCTGCAGTCTTCATGGACAAAGAAAATTATTATTTGTAAACCCTTTTTTTTTTTTCAAGCTCTCAAGATTCATTCAACCTTTATTTAGACAAGATCCAGCTTTAATAGCGAGCGATCTAACGCGCGAACACAGGAAATAATAATATTCTTCATGGCAAAAATACCTTCAGTCATTTGTTTTATTTGTTTTATTTAATATCCTTAAAATGTAAAACATGTTTGTTTGTTTTTTAAATTAAATATCACAGCAAATTAAACCCGAAAAAAAGGTCGACACAATATAAACACTCCCTGTACAAAAATTGTATTTTGATAATTATAGTGCTAAATTATTAATATTTTGTACCGACAATAATACATTGATTTATCCAAAGTGGCTCAGCCTATAATAAAACAAATCTGCTTATTATGACACAAAACTTTGGCTCAGAAATGATTTGCTTAAGCCATATTTCTGAATTCTTTTAGAGATTGGAGGTGTGAATTAAATTTTAAAAAGTCGCAAACATCTGTTTCCAGATGTGAACTCGCATCACGCAGGCACCTCGGTTAAGATCATTCGAATACAAAAAAAAGGCTTCAGGTGGAAGAATTGTTTCTTTTTTTTATATATATCTTAAATAAATCAAGGCCTTGCTGAACGCCACCCTTTAATAAATCCGATTTATAAATGGACAAGGGGGGGGGACCTAAAAATAAAATGTGAACAATTTGACAGTTTAAGGCAAAAGAGACGCTGTTCTTCAGATCGTGCACGACTTAAATGTGGCAACATGCTGCAGATATCTCAAGAGTTGGGTGGCTTGTTAAAAAAACAACAAAAAAAAAAAAACGTGACATCTGTTCGTCATGGGCAGCGAGCTTTAAACGCGGAGCAGCGACAAGCATGTATCACACATCCAGCAGTAGCTGCAGCCTTGCATATTTATAAGCAGTTAATAATTAAAGAGCTTTATGTAGCTCGACAAAACATCCGAGGTGGGATAGCTGTGGGACATCAGAGGGCATCTCTCTCCCTCTGTAACACCTGGAAACATTCACTGCTTCATGCGCCACAGACAGAAATATTTTCAGCATCACATCCAAGAGAGCGTGTTTCTTTGAAATAAAAATAAAATCAGCATCACACATGGAGAGGTCCCCGACCATGATGCTCACTCCCTCCCTCCTCCTTCTCCGTGTCTGTAAAACAACAACAGGCACCACGGATGTGAAAGACAGGAAAGAGGACTCGAAGCCCATCGAGGACGAGACGCAAACGAAGATCAAGCAGAGGAGGAGTCGGACTAACTTCACGTTAGAGCAGCTCAACGAGCTGGAGCGGCTGTTCGACGAGACGCACTACCCGGACGCCTTCATGCGCGAGGAGCTGAGCCAGCGGCTGGGACTGTCCGAGGCCCGAGTCCAGGTAGGGCCCATCCGAACCAGCATAATTAATATTAATAATAGTAATAATAATAATAATGCGAGCGTTTTTAAGATGTGTGAGAACAAAAATGCGCACCCTCATTATCACTCCTGTAAAAGTGCTGTTTTCTAAATTAATCATATAAAATAATAGCAAAAGGATAATGAAGTCGTAAAACTGTTCCTCGTTTTTATTATAAAATTCCTGCTTGGAGTTTTGCATGAAACATTTTTCTTTTTTATCTTTTGTTGTTTGTTTGTTTCTGATTTTAGTGGTTTTTATGCTGAAAATCGATTGGGTTTAATTCATTAGAAGAAGCTAAAACCTCCCTCTTGGTTTTGATTCGTTGTTTTTGTTAATGATTTAATTGTTGTGTTGGTCGCTGCTTGAGTCATTTTAAAGATGAAAACGACACAATCGAAGATAAAACAGGTTATCTGTGGAATGAGGCAGCTGGAATGGAGTTTCCCAGATATCATTAGAAACGCGGGTATGCACTCAATGTAAACAAATGACTATCTGCTTACTTTGCTCAACAAATCTAAGTGTCAACACAAACAAATATTCAAATTGTTGGACTTCTTCATCCTAAATGGCTCTTTCGTGGACGCTGCCATTGTTGATCTATTTTCATTCATTTCGTCTGTTTCTGTAAACAAACGCACGTGGTGGTTAGTAGCTCATTGCGTCCAATTTTTTAATTTAAGGACACGAGGTAAAAAAAAAAAACTGTGTGGATTTAGCCTCTTTAGGATGTTTCCCCCCCCTCCATTTTCCTTATGACGAGCACCTTTAATCTTTTTGTTGTCCTAATGCAATCTTTATATTTTTATTTTTTTTATTTTTCTTCATTCTTTCTTTTGAGAAAAAAAAAACATTTTTGGAGTGCAAAGCTGTGTTAGTGGGAGCAGTTTTTCATGAGGACAGACCATCTGTGCAGAAACCCAGTCCGAGCGGAGGGAGATGGAAGGTGGAGGTGGAGGGGAGGGGGGTTGGCTCAGAGACATGTCCTGTGTAATGCGATCAGGGTGGGGAGGAGGCAATAAACATGAAGACATTTTATTTATTTATTAAAAAAAAAAAGGGGGGATGGAGAAAAGTTTTAACATTTCATTGCATGCTCCCGGCTCAGGCTGAGTCTTCATATTGTAATATTCTGGAGAAAAAAGAAGTAGAACAGATCTCTCTCCCACCCCCCCACCCCCTCACCCCCCCACCAAAAAAGGATGAAGTTAAAACCAGGCTTTTTGCAGGGCTCTCCCACCCTCCCTCAATAAGGCGTATTGTGTTCCCAAACAAGGAGCACCGCAGCTCTGGGTGTGTGGTGGATGGTGGTGGTGTGTGTGTGTGTGTGGGGGGGGGGATTTGCATAAATTATGGTATTATTTCCAATCCAAATCAGGTCCAGTGCTCCATCTTTAATCTGCACAGAGCTGGGCGCAGACCAACCCCACACACCTATCTGAGCTCTGCCTCCATCACCAACCTGCTTTCATAATAGCTATAAATTATATGTGAAGATGGGTGTGTGTGTGTGTGTGTGTGGGGTTGGTCTGCGCCCAGCTCTGTGCAGATTAAAGATGGAGCACTGGACCTGATTTGGATTGGAAATAATACCATAATTTATGCAAATCCCCCCCCCCCCACCCACACCCCCCCCACCCCCCCACCAAAAAAGGATGAAGTTAAAACCAGGCTTTTTGCAGGGCTCTCCCACCCTCCCTCAATAAGGCGTATTGTGTTCCCAAACAAGGAGCACCGCAGCTCTGGGTGTGTGGTGGATGGTGGTGGTGTGTGTGTGTGTGTGTGGGGGGGGGGGGGGGGGGTAGAAGAAGAACTTCCGAGTCACATGCACGCTCTGATCAATAAATGAAGCCAGCTGACAGGCAGATCAATATGATATTTCAATCATGCTTTCACTGCGGCCTTCTTAATGGAGGGAGGATTAGAAGCAGGCTTATTATATCTGTGGCATCCAGAGCAGATTACCAGATTAATAAATGGTGGAATGTAAAATTGCTTGTCGATTTCAAAATGGGAGGGGGGGGGGTGTGAGCTTTATCTTTGTGAGTGTAAAGCTGAGAGGTATTTAAAGCATGGATTTTCTGCAGATAAGGGTAATTAATTTCTGCGGCCAGTTAATGTGAGTGGGGAAGGAAAGAGGAAGGAGAGATGTTCTCAGATCCTGTTCTTCTTCTTCTTCTTTCTTTCTTTCTTTCTTTTCTCTGATCTCTTAAACCGCGATAGAATTGCAACTCGATATCCAAGAGTCCATCCAAGTCTTCGGGGACACTCATCTATAGAAAGATGAAACCAGCGCTGACAAGGTTATTTATCATGCCCCCCCTCCACCCCCCAAAAAAGTCCTGCACGCTTCCAAGAGGAGTCCTCATGTTCTCCTAATGAGTCTGCCATTGCAATTCCTCTTGTGTTGTTTTTATTTTTATTTATCAGCTCCACCGTTTCCTCAGACCTCTCTTTATGTCTTAGGCTAAATGTAATAATTAAAATCCGGGGTTAAGCAGTGTCATTAATATTGCAGCGCTCCTCAGGGATATTGTTGTTCTCCCCCCCCCCCCCCCCTTTCCTGTGGTTGTTGTTACTTTGAGAGGAATTACACACCACAAGCAGCTGCCAATCAGTGGGTCTCTAATTAATTTATGTCCCTGCAGGTTTGGTTCCAGAACAGAAGAGCCAAATGCAGAAAGCAGGAAAACCAGCTACATAAAGGTATTCTATTCTGTTCTATTCTATTCTATTCTATTCTATTCTATTCTCTTCTATTCTATTCAGCTCACAATTGGGCCATCATCATCTGTGTTCTTTTCCCCTAGGGGTCCTGATTGGAGCAGCAAATCAGTTTGAAGCTTGTCGAGTCGCGCCATATGTCAATGTGGGGGCTTTACGGATGCCATTCCAACAGGCAAGTAACTATGAAGAGTCGACAGTCTTTATATAAAAAATAAGAAGCCCCCTTCCCCCTCCCATCCTATCCTCCCCATCTTTTCACCCACCCCTGAATGCAGTCTTGGCCCTGAGACCCATGAGGGGGAACTTATTACATCTCTGGCAAAATCATGATGCCAACACTGTGGAGAATTAGTTATGCTGTTTTATTTTAGAGCATCTTTTATTGGAGCTCACGCATCATTTGTTGTAGCCGTTGGTCAGTAAAACAGATTTTGTCGTAAAGTTCAAATTTGTCTTGTTTTTGGACTTTCAAACTGTCTGCTCAGTGATGTTAGATTTAATTTAATCATGTGAGTAATTTGCTATGGAAAGGCGTCACTTTGGTGCCTAAATAAAAGTTAAAATGTGAGCTTATATATGGAAACGTCTCTGCAAGTTTTTCCATTTCAAAATTCCAAATTTTTCCAAACTTGTACTTTAGAGTTTATTAGTTGATCTCCAGCGTGGTTTTGATAAGTAAAGCTTGCTTTAAAAGTAGTCGTATAGGCATGCGTTCCTGATTATGTCATAAAAACCCAGTATATTTTGTCTATTTATAAGGTTTTCCATCATCTTTGTGAACCCAATTTTAAGGTTTATTTTAAAAAATGAATATATATATATATATATTTTTATAAGGCAACAAAAATGTGTCATTTTTATTCCATACATTTTCCTCTCCCCATCCCTGGAAAACACTAAAAACAACTTCCAGATCACAGATCTATGACAGTAGTTTGTGTAATATTATTATTGCTTTATTGAATTTAAAACTACAGTCTCAGTTATTATGAGCCTTCAGAAAGTTAACGCATGTTCTCCCCCCCTCCTCCCCCCTCCTCCCCCCATCCCGTCCCTGTAGGATAGTCACTGCAACGTGCCGCCCTTCTCCTTTCAGGTGCAGGCGCAGCTGCAGCTGGACAGCGCCGTGGCTCACGCGCAGCACCACCTGCACTCTCACCTGGCCGCGCATGCGCCCTACATGATGTTCCCGGCGCCGCCGTTCGGGTTGCCCCTGGCGACGCTCGCGGCCGAGTCGGCTTCGGCCGCGTCGGTGGTGGCGGCCGCGGCCGCCGCCAAGAACACGAGCAAGAACTCGAGCATCGCCGACCTGAGACTGAAGGCCAAGAAGCACACGGCCGCGCTGGGACTGTGACGAGACGGACTCTGGTCGTGGGGGAGACACGGGACAGCAGGACGTCATTTACGTTTTCTGAAAGGAGGAGCGCGCGCTTTAATAGAACATATAGGCTATTTATGAGACGGGACAAGAAGAGACGTGTAGCCTACAGAAACGTGATGTTTGGACGCCCATGTGGACTTGGTGGACAGCAAGAATCCCCCCCCCCCCCCCATCTCTCACACACTCCCTGAGGAGGAGGACGCAGCTGGGTCGGTCAACTTTGTCAAACAAGGCGAACCATTCTGCATTTTATTTCCTGTTTAAATATTAAATATCCTCGTTGTTCTGATTCTTTAAAGAGGCTGGCCTCACAATATTCCGAGAAAAAACAACAACAACTTTCTCTGCTAAAAGACAGAGAGAAGGGATTCTTTGAAACAAACAAAAAAGACAATATTCCAGGAGTTTTATTATTATTATTATTTTCTTTGTTCTATTTTCTTCTTGTTGTCCACTTTAATAATGCCTCTGCAGTATTTGCATGATTGTGCGCCATCTCCCCCTCCATCACTCCCCCTCCCCCTCATCCTCCTCACCTGACTCTCACCTGAATGTTTGCCCTTTATTTTTTGGACCTCATGAGAGGAAGTGTGATGTTTGACCATAAGTTGGGGGTGTGTGTTGAACATAGTGTCCACATGTCCAACCCTTTTAAAGGAGGACAGTGTGTCCCACCCCCCTCCTATAATTCAGACTGTATGCCAACCGGTACGGGCACGTGTAAAATATGTTTATATACACAAAAAAAACATGCATTATTTTTTAATTATTATTATTATTATTTAGTGGCTTTAAGAATGCCTCGTGGGGACATTGTCCATACTGTATATTTTTTGTTTGGTTGTGTGTATTAAAATTCATTCTGTATATAATTTTGATGTTTTTTTAAACGGTGAAGGGTTTCTAAACAAAAAAAGGAGGAAAAATCATGTTTTATTTTTATTTCTCACCACATGTGTGTGAATCCAACTTTAAGAAAAAAATGTTTCTCGTTCCTATAATAAATTAACTAAAGTTTCTTTAATGAGTTAGCATTTTTTTTACATAATTAGGCTAATCTGTACTAATATTATTATTAATATCATCCCTATTATTGTTATGTACTTTGGAGAGCAATCAGGTTGTTTAATAATTCATCATTTTAGCTTTTGATAACACAATTGTCCGTTTTTGGGGAGACATGGTGTGTTTTGCTGACAAATGGATGCATAATTTATATTTAAAAAAAGTTTGTTGGAGAGAAGTGGGGGGTTCTAAATATTAAATAAAGACTATAGTATCCACTAAAATAAAACGAGGCTACATTCATGCACGCTGTCCTTTTTGAGATAAACAAATTATAATATATCCCTGAAAACCAACAGATAATTGGCTCAAACGAAGATAGTTTTAATTTAAAACGTTTATCTTTATCAGCAACCTGAATTAGCTCATTTGAATTTGTGTTGCAAAAATACCGACTTGAACTTTGTCAAGAATCTGTCAGAAAATAAGTGTTAATTAAACTAAAATGAATTAATTAATGAGAATAAAACGGGGATTTAACAGTGTGTAAATCTGGATGCAAATGTAGCCCGGCTCTTTTTGACCTCAAGTTAGAACAGAAACGAACAGCATGGGAAATAAATAAATAAATAAACAAGTAAATTCTCCGTAAAATTAAATAAATTAAATAATAAGATTCATTAATGCTGGCCTATTCATTTCCTGACATGTTAACCGCCTCTTATTGAACATTTAATAAACACCTGACATGGCATCTATAATTATAGGGCTCCAGATCACATTACTCTTCCGATATTTCCACGCAAAACAAAACGTCTTCAGCTATTAATTAATCCTGATACCCCCCCCCCCCCCGCGCGCGTCTGTAGGAGTCTGGAGTGTTTGTGTACCTCGGCGTTTTGGGGACAGGATTCAGACGCCAAAAACTATTGAATTATTGATTGGGAGCCTCGCCAGTACAAAAAAAAAAAAAAAAAAATTAGGTGGGGGTTGGAGGGATGGAACTGCTGCTGAGCCCGCGGGGGCGCGCATCAAGTCCTGCGATGGATAAGAGTCGGGGGCGCGCCCATCCTTTTCCACCGAGGAGCCACACATGTGGGAATATATCCTATAAACTTCCTCTCACTGCATGAGAAATCATAATCAACTTATGTGCAATTAAAAGTGCTTCATGGTTTTTTTGTTTTTTTTTTAAACATCAGAGCAACAAGAGACTCCTTTAGGTCTAAATGAAGACATTTTCCTCTCCGTGTTCCTTCATGTCAGAAGTGCAAAGTCTACTTGGTTGGAGCGTTCCAACAGCTATCAGCACGTCCTGGAGCGTAGTGCCCGACTGGAGGGCCCCGGAGACAATGAGACGGGGACACACAAGTGTTCTGATTAGACATGGAGACTACCAAGCTCGCACTCTCCTCTCAACACACTCTTAAGACACACACACCCACACAGCCAGCCAGGAGCCAGCCGTGCAGCCATATCCCACTCACTTGCTCTCCTGCTTTACCTCTGCTCTCCTACTCAGGAATCGTTGCACACAGAGCTGGATGAGTCAGGGGAAGGGCAATTATATTAATCAATTGGAAAGACAACAGCAGTGGACATATGAATCCAAATGCATGTGAGCAAAACTCCCTCTCTCTCTCTCTCTCTCTCTCTCTCACACACACACACACACAAGCAGAGATCATCACAGGCTGGTGAGTCACAACAGCACTCGACACCATGGAATCCTTCATATCAACTGGTGCTGTCTTGTTGCTATATTTACCACCACAACCCCTGAGACAAATACACTACTCTCTCATTTCCCGCACTTGGCTCTTTATCAAATTAGGACGTTGTTCAACAATCGCACAGAGGAGTTTCTTTTTAACAACAGCGAAGGGAAATGTGCTGAAGTTGTTATAGGGATGTGTGTTCGGAACTTTTGAATTTCTGTGAGAACATGGGAGAGAGCACCCCTTTCTTTGCTGCTTTTTCACTCCAAAGGCCTTCTTTCTTTTTTTTTTTTTTGCCTTTGTTGCACGCTAGTTGCTCTCAAAGAGCAGGGCCACGCACACACCGCACCAAAGACAACAGCCATCAGGAGCAACAGCAGATAAAAAGCCACACTTCAAAGGCATCAAATGGAGCGAAAGTGAGAAAGAAACCTGCTGAAAACTCCCTCCAACAGCACTCAGGCCAGCAATTACGACGCCATATCGCTGCCTGTTATCACGCTGTATCTGGGCCTGGGTGGCTAACCGCAGCACTCGGTGTGGGTTGCAGTCAGCAGAGAATTACAGCATTTATAGAGTTTGACTGTAACACTGTATTAAATTGCACTGGAGGATGAAAAGTGGGTGTTCACACAGATTTGACCCGTGCTTAACCGTTGCAGACACTCAGAAAATGGAAGAAAAAACAACACATAAACACAGCAGCTCCTATCTGCAGCAGCTGTAGCACAAAACAAAAACAGAGGTCAGAACAAAACAAGAAGTCTAATCGTTTCACTTTTTCCTGTTTACGTGCCCCGGAGCAATCTACACATATTTAATGTACTGCGTGCATTTTTCTATTTGTTATTAATTCATTTCCAGTTGCAGCTGGTTTGCAGATTAGAGAGATAACTTAATGTATAACTCCCTGCCTTGGGAAGAAGACATAACAAGGGGTGTATGTGTTGAGACCTGTGGCATTACTAACCCCTGAAGGGATTTCATTGGAAAAAAAAGGTGACATTTGGTGGATATGGATGCCTTTGGGGGGTGGGTGACTATTTTCTGTGGTTTATACGTGCATGGAAGGAGAGTGTGAGAACAAAACGAGGAGTGGTGAGAGGGGGGGGCGCACAGTAAATGTTAAACATTTGGCCCATGCCGCTCTGTATTTACAAGCTGGTAAGATCCAATCATTTGTGTGTGAGCATAATCGAGCACTTGCTTTTCAATCATCTGATGTTTGTACACAGAGCTCTTATATTACAAAAAGCCTCTTGGAAACCCAGGCCTAACTAATCTCATATTGATTGTGCTCATGCTGTCTGAAGTTTACAAAATGCCATTTTAAAATGTCACAAAATTGCACACGTACAAAAACCCAGCTGACAAATCACCCAATATTTGTATTTGGATGCCCGAGCGTCTTTTTCATGTGTGCAAATCCAGGGGAGGTCCACAATCCTTCATTTTGGGGTTAAGTGCTTTTTTTTTTTTTTTTTTACTTTTCATCCGGGGAACCATTTATGACCATTTATATATCTGTCAACTGGACTCAAACGCTCTCTGAGCTGGTGACAGACATGTGCGGTTGAGGTAAAGTTTAGACGGGACGGAAAATGGCCCTTGGTTTTTCAGTGTGAGCATTAATCACTCCTGTACTGTAAATGTTGTGCACGCACGAAGCTGTTTGCTGCTTTCACATAACCATAAATCTGCGTGTATTACGAAAGTCAATACATCATACAGATGTTTTTTTTTCTTTAAACACAACTCAATGATGAATATCCTAACTGCCTTTTTCTTACAGTTTTCCCATTTGGTACTGTAGCTGCATGCAAACACATAATCACATAATGAAAAACTGAACTAAGAAATCAATAAACACTTGGAATATGTTTTATGCAATGTCTAAAATTTATGCTGAACTACAGAAAATTAATCTACTGTATAGGTATATGTTTTGTTAGTCAGGTCTTTGAAATAAAAACTGAATTTTGGACTTACCTTGGGATTCTGCAGCAATTTAGCAGCAACTCCAAGTCACTAAAACTCATTTGACAATGCACATTGTGCTGACCCCATGATGAAAAACAAACAGCTGTTGGAAAAAGGATGTCTACAGTGCAAGTCATCCCTTATCTCTCTTCTATTTATTCTACTCGTCTCTTCCCTTCTCTTCTTCAACAACCCACATGGACCCATTTCACAGTCCATCACTATTATAAATGCAAAGTGTTTAACTTTTGCAGATTCATTTAGACCTTTTACATTAAATTTAAGCATTTTATGGGGGAGTGGTGGCATAGAGGTTAGAGAAGGTGAGTGTGAAGGTCGGTGGTTTGACTCCCCCGGACCAACAACATTCAAATGTGGGTGGGAAAGGTGAAGCATCCACACCTGCTTCCACCCTCATTTGCCCCACACTGGGCCATTGAGCAAGGCCCTTAACCCCCATCATCTGCTCTCCTGGGCGCCCTAGGTGACAGCTCTCTGCTCCACACAGAAGGCTGTGGTAGCTCGGTGGTCTGTGGTTGCATCAGGAAGGGTATCCGGTGTAAAACAATTGCCAAGTCTTCATGCGAGTTAGTTCGCTGTGGTGACCTCTGA